GGATGCAGATACCACCGTTTAGGCATGCCAGTTCTTTGCTTCTGCAGTCGTTTGCAATTCCATTGTCCTTTATAACTCCCGCGTTATCCTGCCTAGTCAAGTTCGTCTTACTCCGAGGATAAAAAGCTTTAGAAGTAGGTTCGATTGTGAGGCTGTTTCCAGAATTTGTAGATAGTTTACACCCAGGTTTTAAATTACTAGAGTTCTTTAGGGCGTAAGAGAAATCCATGGTTTTGCCATTGATGGAGAGGGATTCAACGCAAGCTGTACGAAAACAAACATGGCTGTTTAAAAGCATTTTTAGTATCGATAGGACTGACTCTCCTCCTACATTTCAAAGTCCTTCACGGTACTAGAGGTGAACAACAAACGCAACAAATACAGTAAGTTATAAATGATCAGTAGCTTACCAACGACACCAGACATAGTTTCAATCCCTCCTGCATCACCAAAAGATCTTAATAGATATTTAGGTGCACCGCCCAAATAGATAGGAGATGCTGAGATCAGAGCTCGAGTTTTATGTTTTGATGGGTTGGATGTTGACACAACCGATTGGATCAGGCCGTTTCTGTTTCCGTCCACATACATTTCCACCCGGTGGGTGACAACGACAACATCGAGTCTATGCAGTTTATTGTCGGCAAGCTGAAAAAAATGGCAGCCAGAATTAATCGTTAGGATTTTTTCGTCCAGCTAACCTTCCAGCCGTTCTAAAATACGACGCACCATTGATACAGAGTAAGCAGTCGCCACTCCTCCAGTGTCGATGGCGAAACTAATCTTCACATGACCCTGATGTAGTTGTGCCATCAGAAATCGGTGGGACGAGAGGGGTTCATCTATCGCCTCGGAGAAGAAGAACAAAATCCCCTCCTGTTGGTCAGTGGAGAAAGTAAGACTAATGTTTCCCCGCGGATAGAAACATCCGCGACTGGGAAACGGTACTGCAACATGCACGTCTGCCGACGCAATGTAGAGGGAGAATACTTTCTCACAGAAGGTCCCACCATAGCCTGTTGTATATGGTGAAGAACAGTCATTAATTTTGATCGGGTAGAGCAGTAACATCTAATGTTTATAATCGAGAGTACATTTCTTTTTTCCATCAATAAAAGCATGTGGCTGCTTTCAGTGTAATGCTATAGCCTTACACATTGCTAGCAAAG